CACTGGGGATGTGCCCACAACCAAGGTACATGACCTTGACCAGAATCGAACCTGGGACCCTTCAGTCCGCAGGTCGATGCTCTATCCACTGAGCCAAACCGGTTTCGGCGAGACAAATTAAATACATAAACAGGAGATGAAGAAAGGAAGAGGTTTATAGAATTGGTCAAGCTGAAATGTTTTCCAGGTCATGCTCTAAAAGATCTTACTTCGGCCGAAACTGGTTTGGCTCAGTGGATAGAGCGTCAGCCTACGACTGAAAGGTCCTGGGTTCGATTCCGGTCAAGGGCATGTACTTTGGTTGCGGGCACATTGCTGTGGGGGGTGTGCAAGAGGCAGCTGATCGATGATTCTCTCTCATCGATGTTTCTAACTCTCTATCTCTCTCTCTTCCTCTCTGTAAAAAATCAAAATATATATTAAGAAAAGTAAAAATAAGAAAAATAAGAGGTCTTACTTCGGCCCTAGCCAGTTTGGCTGAGTGGATACAGCATTGGTCTGAACTGAAGGGTCCCAGGTTCAATTCTGGTCAAATGCATGTACCTGGGTCATGGGCACATCCCCAACAGGCTGATGGATGTTTCTGATCGATGTCTCTCTCTATCCCTATCCCTTCCTCTCTGTAAAAATTCAATAAAACATTTTTTAAAAATAAAAATAGCTGAAATCAGAGTGGCTCAGTGGATAGAGCATCGGAATTCGGACTGAAGGGTCCCAGATTCAATTCCAGTCAAGGGCATGTACCTTGGTTGTGGGCACAACCCCAGTGTGCAAGAGGCAGCTGATGGATGTTCCTCTATCATCAATGTTTCTAATTCTCTATCCCTCTCCCTTCCTCTCTGTAAAAAAATCAATAAAATATATTTTTGAAAATAATAATAGTAAATAAATAAAAATAATAAATAATCCTGCTTCCAATGGTATGTGTAGGTTATAGATGATATAGGACAAAGTTACTTAACACTATGGGTTACAGGTTCTGGGTCATCCTGGGATATTCTTGGTGGATGGTGAGATAAAGGTAATGAATAATTTCTTCAGATCTTAAGGAGAGCTTTGAGCCCTGTTCTACCTCTGTCTGGGGGTCATCTTGTATGAAAGATTTCAGATGAATGGCAGACAACAGCCTTAAAGCAACCCACAAGGATTTATCAAAAATGCATTTGGCGAGGTAGACCAAGATGGTGGCCTAAGAAGGAACCAAAGCTGCTGCCTTGCACAATTTAAAAAACAACTTCATCCAAAAACAGACACCATCCAAAACCACAGGAAAGCTGACAAAGTGGGAAATCTACAACTAAAAAAAAGGAGACAGGCTCATGGATAGGATTGGGAGCCTCAAAGTGCTGAGGTAGGTAGACACTCGCGTGCACAGAGGGGAAAGGTGGCCAAGTGCCTGGCTGGCGGGAGGGGAAAGGAAGTCCCCGATTGCACTGAACCCTTTCTGACTGTACTGAACCCCAATCCTGGCTGAAACCCCGTGGAACCAGGCTCATATGGGTGAATTCTGGACTGTAGAGAAAGGCACCCAGAGTCTCAGAGACTGAGAGACCTGAGAGCAGGGAGCCGCAGTGGGCAGGGTCTACAGTCGCACATGAGTAAGTATACGCAGAGATCTGACTGCAGAGGTTGCCAAGGCCTCTCCATAGCTGAAAGAGTCAAATCAAAGCTCCAGACTACAGAGACGCAACCCAATTCCGGGCGAGCCGCTGGGACACCCACGCTCTTGCCCGGGAAATCTGGGATGGTCAGGTGGAAACTCAGGGGAGCCGCAGAAGGCAGAGACCAGGTGGAAACTCAGGCAAGCGCACAAGGGCAGGGCTGACAAGAAGCCAAGACTGTGAGCTCAGCCCTGAGACTCCGCCCCATCCAAGTTGAGCACAGAGGCGTTTGCAATTTTGCAAGTCTGATCCTATAAGACTGTCTCCAATACAGAAGGTATTCCAGAGTAGACACAGCTGATACCCACATCCAATTGGCCTGAAGGTCAATTCCTCCCAGGGATACCAACAAACAATCAAGACTTAGATACAAAAAGGCAGTACACACAGTCCACAAAGGGGAACACCAAGAGTGTCTACCTCAAGTAACTGAGGAGGCTGACCCACTGAGCCATGTAAGATACCAACACACAAAGCAATCCTACCAACTCTGGGAAGCAGTGAAAATGCCAATGCAAGAAAATAGATCTCAAACGAAAGAGATTGAGGATATAGAGTTCAAAACCACAGTTATAAGGTTATGCAACAATATCCTAGAAACGGCCAATAAATTTCATGAAACCCAACTAAAAATTAAACAAAAACTGACTAAATTGGAAAATATTATGCAGAGATCCAACAGCAGAATGGAGGAACACAAGAATCAGGTCAAAGAGCCAAAACATACTCCTCTGAAGAAGCAAGAAGAAAAAAGAATCCAGAAAGTTGAAGATAGTGTAAGGAGCCTCTGGGACAACTTCAAGCATACCAACATCAGAATTATGGGGGTGCCAGAAGAAGAGAGAGTGCAAAATACTGAAAACATACTTGAATAAATAATATCAGAAAACTTACCCCACCTGGTAAAAGAAATAGACTTACAAGTACATGAAGTGTACAGAACCCCAAACAAGAGGAATCCAAAGAGGAACACTCCAAGACAAATCATAATTAAAATGCCAAGGGCAAAAGACAAAAAGAGGAACTTACAAGCAGCAAGAGAAAAGCAGTTGGTTACCTATAAGGGAGCACCCATTGTACTATTAGCTGATTTCTCAACAGAAACTATGCAGGCCAGAAGGGAGTGGCAAGAAATATTCAAAGTGATAAAGAATGAGAACCTACAACCAAGAATATTGTATCCAGCAAAGTTATCATTCAGAATTGAAGGGCAGATAAAGAGCTTCACAAATAAAATTTAAAAAATTAAAGGAGTTCATCACCACCAAACCAGTATTATATGAAATGCTGAAAGGTATTATTTAAGAAAAAGAAGATCAAGTGAATTAAAAATCTGAGGAACAGAATAAAGTGGTGAATATAATAGAATCGGGGCAATGAAAGGGAGTGGATTGATAATTATCAGGGGAAAGGGATGTGGGAGTGCAGAAAGAGACTGGATTAAAATTGTATAACACATAGATAAGGACAATGGAGAGAGGAGGTAAGGGCAGAGGGTTGGGAGTGGGGGAACTGGGTGAAAGGGAGCTATTGAGGGTTGGGGGGGAGGAGAAACAATTGTAATAATAAGAGTAATAAAGATTTTTTTTTTAAATGCATTTGGCATTTCCAGTCCAATGTAGATCAGTGGTTGAACATCAACCTATGAACTAGGAAGTGGAGTTTCAATTCCAGTCAGGCACATTCCTGGTTTCAGGCTACATTCCCAGTGGGAGCATGCAAAAGGTAGCAGATCAATGATTCTCTGAAATCGATATATATATATACACACACACAAACACACACACACACACACACACAAAAAAAAATTATATATAGCCGAAACCAGTTTGGCTCAGTGATAGAGTGTCGGTCTGCAGACTGAAAGGTCCCAGGTTTGATTCTGGTCAAGGGCATGTATATTGATTGCGGGCACATCCCCGGTAGGGGGTGTGCAAGAGGCAGCTGGTCGTTATTTCTCTCTCGTTGACGTTTCTGGCTCTCTATTCCTCTCTCCTCCTCTCTGTAAAAAATCAATAAAATTTATTTTTTTAAAAATTATATATATGTGTGTGTGTGTGTATGTATATAACTTTTTTTTTTAATGCACTTGGCATCAAGCATAGCTGACAATTCAGCTAATTTGAATGCTCCCTGTGAGGGTTCAAAAGGTTTTATACTTTTCCCTATATAGGTTTCTAGATTGTTATGGCTTATCTCAGAGTATATGGACTTCTCTTCCTAGCTCTGGAACCCTGAGCTGGGGTACAGTTGGGGCCCCATGGAGCTGTTTGCAGTGGCTTTACTTATGACTAGTCTGTCTTGGCTCAGCTTTAGACTTTCCTTAAACAAGCAGCACGTGGCTTGTTTATGCATCTGTTTGGCAAATCCTAAAGTGCCTGACTTCTTTAATGAGTGAGATAAAAATCTCTTTTTACTTGTTCCCCTCTTTCCTGCCCCAGCAGTTATCTTTTCTTTTTTTTTTCTTTTTTTAATATATATATTTTATTGATTTTTTTACAGAGAGGAAGGAAGAAAGATAGAGAGCTAAAAACATCGATGAAAGAGAAACATTGACCAGCTGCCTCTTGCACACCCCCTATCAGGGATTTGCCCGCAGCCAAGGTACATGCCCCTGACCGGAATCGAACCCAGGACCTTTCAGTCCGCAGACCGATGCTCAACCACTGAGCCAAACTGGTTTCAGCAGCAGTTATCTTTTCTATCTAATATCTCCCAAGTGATATCAGCCAAATGTTTTTGGAGCTGTGATTTTCACAAAATTATTCAACGAATATTTCCATCTACTCTTTTTTAATGGTTGGCAATAAAATTATACAAACTGAAATCTTTTCTTATCATGAAGCTGGACACTTAACGTATTAGCCTCTTTTTTTTAAGTATCTTTTTTATTTTATTGATTTCAGAGAGAAAGGGAGAGGGAGAGAGAGAGAAATATCAATGATAAGACAGAATAACTGCCTTCTGCATACCCCCTACTGGGTATCAAGCCCACAAATGCTCTGACCAGGAATTGAACACTGACCTCCTAGTTTATAGCTCAACACTCAACCAGTGAACCACAAGAGTTAATCCATTTAACCTCTGTACCCTCTATTGCCCTCCTACCTCCTTTCTCTCTGATAATCACCATACTATTATCTATGAATTTTTGTTTATTTGTTCATTTATTGCTTTCTGTTTTATATTCATCTACTCTTTCTTTCACATTGTCATTTGTACTTATGAACTGGAAGAACTAAAAAACTCTCTGCCCTTAGGAAAAAAATAAAAATGCTGGCATTTATATAATATGCAAACAACTCAAACAAACAATTTAAAAGACAATAAAAACATTACCTTTTGGGTAATCTTCTAACAGAAGGTTGAAGTGACCTAATTGACAAAAGATATCAGACTCCACTTTTCCTTCAGTTTTTAAGATTAAAGATTCATAGCAGCGAACGGCCTAGAAATAAAAAGATTAAAAAAAATACATATTAAGAAAAAAGAAGAGAGAATAAAAATGGTTGTGGGGTTAAAAGTCAGTACTCTCCACCTCCCACAACCACACTGACATTACAATTGTATACAGAAAAACCATTATTCAGAATCGCCTGAAAGCTGGCTGAATGGGAGCTCTACAACTACTGAGGTAAAAAAAGAAAGCACACTGAGACTAGTAGGAGAGAGGAGGCACGGAACTGGCTAATACCACACGTTTTAATCAGGAGGGTAATGGGTGCCTTCGAGGAACAAGGGGTCCTAACCCCAAACTGGACCTGAGCTCAAGATTCCAGAGCTAGGAAGTACCCATAATTTTGAGCTATAAATACCAGCAGGGATTATGGTTAACTGCTGGAGACCCAGGTATTCCTCTTAAAGGGCTGGCACACAAACTTATTCGGACTTCATCCTTCTAAGCTCCAGCTCTGGCTGGCTGCATTAGAGGACTCAGAAAAACACTGGGAGAAAATAAATTGTTTGGCATTGGGGCCAGAACTCAGAGGCAGCTTTCTCAGAGTTAGGTGATTGAGGGGATCATTGTTCATATGCTGGGACCTCTCCAACACGCAGGCTGACTGTTAAGTCATATCTGAGTCTCCATAAGCCTGAAGCACAGTTTGAACCACCCTAGTGATTCCCTGAGACCCTATCTCATCCAATTAGCAGTCCCACGGAGCTGTTCACAAGTAGCATGTGGCTTCAGTGTACTTATACCTATTAATAAGAGATCTATACCTATCAAAACATGGCACTAACACAAGATTGCCTTGCTTCATAGCTTGCCTCACCTGCCTACTTCCAAGCCCAATACAAATAGAATCCTCTGCATATAATTTGGTAGCTCCAACAGAGTGACCTCAAGCAACAGCTGACTTTGCACCTCCTAGTAAGCCCCAGTAGAGAGCTTCAGATAATACCATATTACAATTCTACAAGCAACACATTCCAGGAGCAGACTCAGTAAACACCAAAGCTCCACTGAAGCAAGTCTTCTATATGGCTATTTCCTGCACAGCAGCTCTTCCTCTATAGTTGCAGTTGGTCCTCACAGCCACTGGTCTGGAGGCCAACTCCTTCCAGCGACGCGAACAGCAATCAAGGTTTAACTACTACAAGACTAGGCACACAACTCACAAGGGCACACCTAGAATGCCCAGTTCAAGTGGGAAAACTTAGCCACTGGGCCCTACAGGACATCTACTACATAAGGCCAACAACCAATTCGAGAAGAAACTGGATATATAGAAACCAAAACAACAAAACAAGCAAAATGTGGAAACAAGCTCTGACCAGTTTGGCTTGGTGGATAGAGCATCAGCCAGCAGACTCAAGAGACCCAAGTTCAATTCTGGTCAAGGGCATGTACTGAAGTAAGAGGTGTGCAGGGGGCAGCTTGATCAATGTTTCTCTCTCATCAATGTTTCTAACTCTCTCTCCCTCTCCCTTCCTCTCTGTAAAAAATTAATAAAATGTTTTGTTTTGTTTTTAAATACAAAGATAAACCAAAACCGGTTTGGCTCAGTGGACAGAGCGTCGGTCTGTGGACTGAAGGGTCCGGGTTTGATTCTGGCCAAGGGCATGTACCTTGGTAGTGGGCACATCCCCAGTGGGGGGTGTGCAGGAGGCAGCTGATCGATGATTCTCTCTCATCTATGTTTCTACTCTCCATTCCTCTCTCTTCCTCTCTGTAAAAAATCAATAAAATATATATATTTTTTTTAAATGAAGATAAGAAAACATGTCAAATGTGAAAAAACAGAAAAATTTTTCCAGAAATACATGAAATGAAAGCAAGTACACTATTGGAAACAAAGTTCAAAACAATGGTTATAAGATTACTCAAGGAACTCAAAAAGAGCTTCAAGGGACTTAGTGAGATTTCAAATATTTTTTATTAAATTTCAAAGTTATGAAATAGGACCAGTCTGAAATTAAACATAGACTAACTTTGCTCTGGCAGGTTTGGCTCAATGGATAGAGCGTTGACCTGTGGATTGAAGGGTCTTACGTTCAATTTCAATCAAGGGCACATGCCCAGGTTGCCGGCTCATTCCCCAGTTGGGGGTGTGCAGGAGGCAGTCACTCTCATCCTTAATGTGTCTATCTCCCTCTCCCTGCCTCTATGAAATATATATAGCCTATCTAATAAAGAGGGAATATGCTAATTGACCATCATTCTCTCACAGATAGTGACCACAGCCAATAAGGAGAAAATATGCTAACTGACTGCACCCCCTCAAAGATAAAAGTGTCCACAGCTACAAAATAGTGATGCCCAGTCCTTTCAGCCCCGCTGGGGCAGCTGGCACTTGGCATGGACGGCCCGTCCCCAGGCGGTCAAACTGTTTCACACTCTGCCTCTGGAGTCCCCATCCTCGGAAGGCAGCTGCCCAGCCACCCAGGACCACCAAAAGCTCAGGTAACCAGAGCAAGCCGAGTGTTGAGTTGCCAGCAGTGGCAGCAGCAGAGGTGTGATGAGGGATTGCCTTCCCCTGATTGTTGGGTTGCCTCCCAACCTTGAGAGTTCCCATATTGAGAGGGAGAGCAGACTGGGTTGAGGTAACCCCCTCCATGAATGAATTTTCATGCACCAAGATTCTACTATATACTATATATAAAGAATAACTTCTCCAAAACTGGTTTGGCTCAGTGGATAGAGTATCAGCCTGCAGACTGAAGGGTCCCAGGTTCTTATCCGGTCAAGCGCATGTACCTTGGTTGTGGGCACATCCCCAGAAGGGGGTGTGCAAGAGACAGCTGATCGATGACTCTCTCTCATTATGTTTCTAACTCTCCATCCCTCTCTCTTCCTCTCTGTAAAAAATCAATAAAATATATTTAATAAAAAAAGAATAACTTCTAATTCCAAATATCAAATAAAAAACTTAGAATATGAGGAAGCAAAAAGTACCCAAAGAAAAAAAAGATTCCAAAAATAGGATGATATAAGGATCCTCTAGGACAATTTCCCATATACCAACATTCACCCCCTAACAATTCCCCTGCCAGCATGATTGCCCCTAACTGCCCTCCCCTGCAGGCCTGGTCCCTCCCAACTGCCCTCCCCTGCTGTTATTTTGTGGCAGCCACCTTGTGTCCATCTTGTGTGGAGTGATGGTCAATTTGCCTATTACTATTTTATTAGATACGAAGGTCTTATAAGCATACTAGAGACCCAATACATAAAGACTCATCATTCCCCTGGATGTCTGCACTGCCTTTGCTCCAGCCCAGAGCCACCTTTCCACCTTCTCACACTGCAGAACAATCCAGTCACTAAAAGCCTATGTATGTAAATTAATCCACCATCTTGGTTGGGTTAATTTGCATACTCATTCCTGATTGGTTGGTGGACATCACCAAGGTATAGTCAATTTGCATCTACCTCTTTTATTAATGTAGATTAGTGACTTGGGGCACAAAAATTTGTGAATGGGGGAGAAGGGGTGTTGTCCTTCAGCCTGGCCTGCACTCTCTCCAATCTGGGACCCCTTGAAGGATGTCCTATTGCCAGTTTACAAAGAGCTGGCCCAAACTAGCAGTTGGACATTCCTCTTGCAATCTGGGGTTGCTGGCACCTAACTGCTCACTTGCCTGCTTGGGCTGCCCCCAGCCACAGAGAAAGCCAAGCTTCCCACCTGCCCCACAGCTGTTGGGGGCATGCCCAACCTGGATGAGGGACTGATGGCTGTTTGCAAGCCGGCCACGCTCCCCACTAAGAACCCTCACTTGGGGGTGTGGCCAGCCTAGGTAAGAGGCTGATGGCTGTATGAAGGCTGACTACGCCACCCGGTAACCCAGGCCCCTAGCCACTCCTTGAGTGGTGGCCAGAGTGGGCTGGAAGCTTGGCTAACTCTGTCGCTAGGAAAAATCCAAGGCTGCTGCTTACACCAGTTGCATGGCCACTGCCATCTTTGTTGGGTTCCTTGTATACTCGCTCCTAATTGGCTTGAAGAAAGGTCAATTTGTATGTTTAGCTCTTACTAGTGTACATATGCATTTCCTACACATACAAACAATAGGGTGGTAAAGTCCTAGGGTAGGACATAATCAGGTGGTGGAGGCAAAGGAAATATCTGTAATACTCTCAACAATAAAAACATTTTTAAAAAAGAAAGAAAAGAGCAAAATTTTAATTGCATTCTTTCTGAGACAGTACAATATATACTACATGAGAGTACTCAAGAAATAAAAGCAATCTTGGGAGAGATTAAAAATGGCAACAAAGTGCTGAAATCAGTTTGGCTCAGCAGTAGAGCGTCAGTCTGTGGACTGAAAGGTCCCAGGTTCGATTCGGGTCAGGGGCATGTACATTGGTTGTGGGCACATCCCCGGTAGGGGGTGTGCAAGAGGCAGCTGGTTGAAACGTTTCTAGCTCTCTATCTCTTTCCCTTCCTCTCTGTAAAAAATCAATAAAATATATTTATTTTTTTTTAAATTTTTAAATGGCAACAAAGTATCTCTATTCCAAATAACACAGCCCCTGATGGCACAGACACTAGCACACCACAAGGACTATTGACTTTGGCTAATGAACAACCTTAGAATGCTGGAGGAATGTTTGGAAAATGGAAAGAATTAATGGCCTAATTCTAATATCTTTCATCTTTGTAGCAGGAGTATTAACAGCAATAGAATGTTGTATTATCCCTGGGATAAGAAAATTAACAAACAAGTTAATTAAAATAGCTATTAATAAGCATATAACTGAACAGGATATTACTAGAAACCAAAATGCAGGTACCTGATTATGAAGAAGAAAGTCAACAAGTTTTAGAAAGACTGGAAAAATAGCTAATTTAATTAGCGTAAGAAGATGGGAGAATTTGTAGAAGCTTGTGTTTAGCATAGTCAACTTTAAAAAAAAAAAAAAAAAAAAACTAACATCATGTGGCCAAATGGTTACTGAATTTTTCCAGGGTAAACGGACTATAGGGAGGAGAAAATAAAGAACTACGTACT